AGCTTCTCTCAGCACTGGGGACACTAGTGAGCACCTTCTCCCAGGGAAAAGGCCCTAGCTGCCCTGGCTGCTTTTTCCTTCTCCTTTCAGTGGGAGTGTCTCAGAGAAATCACAAATGGAGAAGGTGCAGTAGACTCCACCTTGTTATTAGAACCAAGAAGGAAAGGTGAATACACAGGTCAAAGAGAACAGTCTGAAGCAGCAAAGGAAAAGGACTTTCCAGATCTGACACTAATCCAGACAAACTTAAGTGGTCAAAGGACCCTCAATATGACTTAAAAGGGGGGTGAGTGTTCTACCTAGTAATGCTGTGGAATACCTCAGGAGCAAAGAAACCCAATAGGGTGTTCAAAGGAACAGCACCTGCACCACACAGATGTCTCAGAGGTTCAGCATAAGCCAAAGACTGGGCATCCTCGGGGGAAATGAAACAGCCTACAATGTGATGTAAACGAAAAGAAAACTATGTGCAAGAGCAGAGTCCGAGAGAGACACGAGCTCAGATGGACAACGCTGTGATGACTCTAAAATGTCTTCTTGGGAGGAGCACCGACAATTGCATTCCCTGAAGGAAGAAATCTGCCCTAGATGGGAAGTCTGTGGTATAAGTAGTAAATAAAGGGAGAGAGGGTTATCTCACAGGCCTTGAATCTGCCTAACAAGAATAACAGTGTGTCCCCAACAAGTTAAGTCAGAGAGCTCTAGTGTTGCAAAACTGCACCAGAAGAGGATAGTCGGATGAAAGCATGAGAAGATCCTGGTTAACTTTGGAGTGTGGTAATTTAAGCATGCATCTCTAGGGTAGGAGCTAGAAGGATAGAAGAGTTTTCACCTGTACGGTAATAGAGGAAAAAAAGCTAAAACTACAAACTTTTTATTGGACAACAGAGGTTTGTTTTGTTTTAATGTGGGGACACTGAGATGCCTCAGCAGGTAAAGGCACTTGCTGTGTGTGACTCCCAGTAGCTGTGCTCTGACACGATGTGCACACCCACACAGAAAATAAATGGAATAGTAATGCTTAAAGTGGCAGAACAAAAAGACTACACAGACGAGAACACAGGAGGGACACAGCTGGGCAGGTGTCAGCAATTATACAAATGGAACTGATGAGTTGTAAGGACAGGATGCACACACCTGTGTGCAGTCACGCTCAGGTCTTATTCACAGGTGCAGTGGGTTCTCTGGCCTGCAAGCAGCCAGCCTGTGGGTCTCCAGGCTCCTAGGTAAGTGGGAAACAGTTTCCAGGTGAGATGCCAGCTGCCGTAGACAGCAGGTGAGCATGTGATTTCATCTGTCACTGTTGTACCCCTCTAACATCAGTCTCCTAGAGTCTAATCAATTCTCAGCTCTTAAGATACTTAAGTGAACTGCCACCAAGCCCCTAGAGCTGTGGGTGGTTCTGAATGAAGTCCCTCTCCTGCCTCAAATGGCTCAAATGCTTGTCTTTCAACACATCAGAGTCCTACACAGATGACCACAAGCACTTGGCTTTACATTCTGGGAAAAAGACAAGTCTGACCTGAGATGGGGTACAGTCATTCAAATGGAAGTGATGAAACAGTATTTGTGATTTGGGGGTGGGAAAAATTAAATTGATAAGCCTTTCAGTGAGACTAGTAGAAATTTTAGCTTTGTACATGTAGCTCCAATAGCATTTCTGTCACACAGTGGTGTAGGATAACTCCTGGATCTTTCAGGTCCTCAGAACAATTATATTATGGCAAAAGACTGTAAAGTTATGAGATGTGCTGCCACACAATGACTAAATACACCCATTTTCCCAGTCTTTCTCATAGGATTCCCTTAACAGCAAATGTTTTTCCTCTTGCTCAGAGAAACCAAAACTTTTATAGCCTCATTGAAATCCAGAGAATGGTTCTCTTTGCCAGCCCATCTGGAAGAGACTGGCTTCTGGACTCTGCAAGCCCTCTGTGGCTACTCTGTTACTACCCACCTAAGCACTTCTGCCACTTTAACTGTCCCGAAAAACTCAAACTAAAAAAAGCCTAAAAAAAGCAGAGCAGTGATAGAAGCTGGCGATGCAGAGCCATGGTGTCCAGGATCTAAACTGGACACCCAGCATAAAAACATGATCTCCTTTCTATGGAATATCCTAGTGGGAGTCCTTCTGTTTATCTTCAACTGAACAGCATATGAAGATTGGGTGTCACATGTAACTGCCTGGTCTGAAGAACCTAATCAAAATTTCTCTTCCTATCTGGAAAGGATGGCCCAGGAGGGCAATACTGGTTGAGGAGACTTAAATATTCTACTTGTTAAGAACAAACATCTGGTTAGCTGGTCTACCTGAATTATAAAAGTATCTGTGAAATAAGAAACTCAGTATGATCAGAGTGCTCTTGTGCCTGTCATGCCCAGCTTTCATGAATACTGTTATAACAGTAAATATTGTGAAAATAGTTTTCTCTAAACTTATTAATTATAATGGAATGCTGTGTGAAGCAGTACCATTTGTATACATTTGAACTTGTCTAGAAGGTGACTGTGAAAAAATCCCTACAATTATATTTTAAGTAAATAAGATCACAATTACAATGATATTTAAGCACAGGACCAATAATGTACATTTTAATACATGTTCTAATTAAGAAAAGTAAGCAATGAAAACTTACAAAAAAAATGAGTTGGGGCAGACCACTATACAACTTTGTAAGCAAAACTCTTAACAACAAAAAATCACTTTGAGACAAAGTCTCATATAGTTCAGGCTAGCTTCAAACTTCTGATCCCTTGCCTCAAGTCTCCTGAATGCTAAGATTATAGGTATACACCACCATGCCTCCCTACAGTCTTAATACAAATCCCACTAAGTTTAAGGAAGGCAGTTACATTTCTAAGTAATATAGTACTCATACGACTTTGCTCTTTTAAAACAGAGTGACAGAATCTTGAGGAAAGGGCAGGCACAGTGTCAAACCTTTTGAACTGTAGAGGATAAAACACACAGAGGTCAAAGAATCTCAGCAGGCATGTCCAGATGAGTCAGGAAGCAGGCAGACTGAGGACTATTTAATGGCAGTAGGTAAAGCTAGTGGGGAACTTGTGCAGGAATGTCTGCCCTTCCTAAGTGTGTGAACAGTAGTTCACTCCAGTGTGTGCCTGAAGTGTTGGAGTTCTGTGGATCCAACAGCTCCTGTCCATGCCATTAGGAGATGACTGCATGCCCTGCACAGCCAATGTCTAATGTCCAAGTCATTTGTCCTAAGATCAATTGCTTTTCTGTATGTTTAATAATTGTGTATGTGTAAAACTTTATAAAAGACCTGGGTTTAGAGGAACACTAGAGACTTATTTAAGGTTAACTTTAGATAGCATGCATATGCTGTCTCTGTTCTGAAACTACTAGTGTAGAACTCAACCTAAGGCCCAAGGGATCTGTTCTGTAGTGGGGCATCTTAGTTATCTATAAATAGATATCTTTGCTTAGAAAAAGATTTTTTTAAATAATTTTTTTCTTAATTTTTTATTGAGATATATATTTTTCTGCTCCCCTTCCTTCCTCTCTCATCCCCTCCTACCCTCTCCCATTGTCCCCATGCTCCCAATTTACTCAGGAGATCTTATCTTTTTCTACTTCCCATGTACATTAGATCTATGTATGCCTCCCTTAGGGCCCTCTTTGTTGTCTAGGTTCTCTGGGATTGTGACTTGTAGGCTGCTTCTTTTCTTTTTTTCTCTTTATTTTTTCTTTATGTCTAAAAGCCACTTAGGAGTGAGTACATATGATATTTGTCTTCTGGGTATGGGTTACCTCACTCAATATGATGATTTCTGGATCCAAGATGTTATTTTTTTCTGCTGTGTAGTACTCAATTGTGTAAATGTTCCACATTTTCCTTATCCACTCTTTGGTCAAGGGGCATTTAGGTTGTTTCTAGGTTCTGGCTATGATGAACAATGCTGCTATGAACAGAGTTGAGCATATGTCCTTGTGGCACGATTGAGCATCCTTTGGGTATATACTCAAAAGTGGTATTGCAGGGTCTTGAGGAAGGTTGTTTCCAAATTTTCTGAGAAATTGTCATACTGATATCCAAAGAGGCTGTACCAGCTTACACTCCCACCAGCAAAGCAGGAGTGTTCCCTTTATCCCACAGCCTCTCCAGCATAAGTTGTCATCAGTGTTTTTGATCTTGGCCATTCTTGCAGGTGTAAGATGAAATCTCAGAGTTGTTTTGATTTGCATTTCTCTGATGGCTAAGGATGTTGAACATTTCCTTAAGTGTCTTTGAGCCATTTTAGATTCTAGAGGAAGATTTTTAAAGTTATTAGGCAAGGACTGTTTCAAAATGTGACCTTAGAGCTTAATGGGAAGAAAGTAAGAAGACAACCCTCCTTGCTTGGATTTCCTCTTTTCTGATTATACTAAGATCATCTACAATCTGGAGCCATAGCTTCACAGGCCGATGGGCAAAGCATAAGCGCTGCTAGCTCTAGTCCCCACAAGCCTGGCAGCAGTGCCAAGAGGTTATACACTGTGCATGTAAGCCCTCTGAAAGATTCTAATTCCTCCCTCCTGTCAGCTTCAGTCCCATATACTAACTAACTTGCTAACTGCTGCAGAGAAAAGTATCTTTTTACACATCCCCAAACTGTTAAGCTGGAATCCTGTGAATTAGACCAACAAGAGATCTACTAGCAAGAGAAAAGTATAAGCACTTATTTAATAAAGTCTCCTGTAACATGGTCCCCTTCTTACGGAAACAGACCTGAGTCACAGCTAAGCAGCAGTGAACTGAGCTTTCACTGATGAAGAATGGAGAGTACCAAAAAGGAGACAGCTGAGGACAGCGAGACAGGCGACTTGGCCTGGTCTGTGCTAGGTTTCTCTCAGGACCCCCATCCTCAGAGATGAGGGCACTCCTGTTACAGTAGGGCCTCATGACAGCTTCTGAAGGGAAGGGAAGTCAAGTTCCTCCTTCAGGAATGGCTTTGCCCTGTCATTCAGATGCTCCAGCCTATGCCTCTGTTCTCAGTTCACAGAAATCAGCCACCGACTCTTGTGCTCATACAACACCAACATAGATGAACTCTTCTCAGAAATCGACCTCTGCTTGGCTGTAAATCGCAGCATTCTTCAGCAGCTAGATGAAAGATGTGGCCATGAGATCACTGAGGAGGACTGGGAGAAAATCCAAGTGCAGGTAGGCTTCAGCCCAGCTTCTCTGCTGCCAGTGCAGAATAGACTGCAGTCACAGGTCTGTAAAGGGTGGGAGCCTTGCATTGGGACACCCAGGGATTTACCATGAGCTCAGTGATGGCCATCAAGGTCTTTCATTTTGAAATGTTAAAGTTCTAGTTCGATGGTAAGTGTTAAGAACAATGAAAACCCAAGAGGACAAGCCTATGCTTCCTGTCCTCCTCCTATATCTGTAGTAACCTAAGGAAGGAAAGCAGGGCTCTGAAGTGACTTGATGTCAGATGCAAGGAAAACTTAAACAGAAAATTAGGGGTTAAAAAAAGATTAAAATATAAAATTGGGAATGTTTTACCTTTTTAACAGTATCAGCCAATTTTTTTCATTTGAATTAAAAGGCATCATTTACATTATTAATGCTCAGCATTTTTAAAGTATTTGTGTTTTAAAATGCTTACTATAATCTCTACACCTCACATTTTAGACATCTGTCAATGTAGTGCCCATTTTCAGAGGATCCACGTCTTGGGATATAGTTCTCACTAAAGGTCTGAGTAACTGTGGAATGTGACAGGACAGTCAATGCCTATGACAAATTCATATCTGCTCTGTGCTGCAGGCTGCTCACCGGGAGATCTACGAGTGTTCCATCTGCCTGACCCCACTCTCCTTCCATGGTGACTGCCGGCAAGCAGCTGTAGGAACCAGCGGCCAGCGGCCCCGTGAGACAGTCCTCCTGTCCTGTGCACACCTGTTCCACCATGCCTGCCTCCTGGCCTTGGAAGAGTTTTCCTTGGGAGACAATGCTCCTTTCCGTGCCTGTCCTCTCTGCCGCTCCTGCTACCAAAAGAAAATTCTTAAATGCTGAATTCATGTTCAGGAAGTTAAGACTAAAAGGGAGTAAAAAGCCTACCTTGTTTTTGGATGAGCTGTGTGAGTTTTGGGTTGAGTACTACACTGCTGTCTGTTCTTTGTGATTACACAAAGGAGATATAAGGGCCCATCTAACTATCACCCTTATTACATAAAAAGCAGTTTGTGTATTGTGAGTTTAGTTACTTGAAATAAATGAAGAATAATGTTACTTAAAATATAGTGTCTAACCAACAACCTGGAAACTGACATTCTTATCCAATGCGTACGAATGCTCCCTTGGTTTTTATGTAATAAATTAGTAGTATAGTGAAGTACTTTTAACATGTAAACTGAAAAAATAGTGGTGTTCAAAACAGGATAAGTCAAATGTTAATGATGATGTACAGAATCCTGAGACAGACAACTGAAAATCCCTGGAGCCTACAGAATTGGTGCCAGTGCTCTAATGTCAAACCCCACAAGTGCTCAAGTCCCTGATCTGAAATGGTGCAGTACTTCCGTATAACTGGCATACATCGCTCCACATACTTTGAAGTCACCTCTAAGTTAAAATGCCCAGTACAGTGTAGGTGCTCTGTGGACAGTTGCTGCACTGTATTACTTAGGAACTAAGGACAGGAAAAAGAAAAAAACATGTGTGTGGGTGTGAACACGGATATAGTGATTTTCTTAACTCTCTAAACCCCAGGTTGGATACAGAGCACTGGTGCTAAGATTGGTGGTGGACATAGTAGTTAAAGAGCAGCTCTGCTCAGGTGGCCCTGGCCACTGGAACAGATAAAGACCCATCCAACAGTATTAGTAATGTGGTCATCAATGCTGGGGTGTCTATCCTACAGACCCTTCGAGCTCCCTGGTTCTTTCTGTCTCCGGAATTTAAGTCTCTTTTGCCTCAGTCTGACCAGGGAATCTCTTCTCTTTGAGGAAGAGCCTGTTGATGACTGTGCTGGGAGGCAGTGTCCACGTGACACAGAATCCCAGGGAAGGGACTGGTATTGGCTCAAGAAAGCAAGACCAAGTTCTCAGCATAAGGGAGATTTATTTACCCCAGAGGGACAAAGGACAAGGAATAAGAGACAAAGACAAGAGACAGAGAAGGCAGAAGGGGAAGGAAGAAAGGGAGAGGGTAAGAAGGGATATATGTCCCAGAGGACAAAAGACTGCCTCTGGATAGAGAGGAGACTGGCATGGCCCATAAGCAAATGGCAGTTTATGAATGTAAAAGGGAAAACCCTGTGTTAGGAGGAGGGGTTTAATTTTAATTGGGTATAAAGGGGGCTTTTCATTGCTGGGCTTCAATACTTTGATAGGTGGATCTTGGTAGTCAGCCTCAGAACAAGGAAGTGGACAATTAAGGGAATGGACCTTGATGGTTAGCTTTAAGAATGTAATCTAATGGAATAGGGAGAAGGGCAAGGCCTGCCAGAGCCATGTGTGCCATGCTTAGGCTGGCTAGAGTCTTCACCCAGCCTGGATGGAGGCACAGCAGTGAAGCAGGTAGCAAGTAAAGGTACACGCCAGGGTTCAGAACTTCCCCCTACACAATGTTTTAAATTCATATTTATATAAGTGTTTAAAATTCATATTTATATTTTATCCTTTTGAAATGGCTCTTTTGGTTTATAATACAGATATATAATTTATGAATTAGTATGTATATGTTAGGTTATGCTCAAAAGTTCTTGATTAGAGACATACTATTGCATTTGGAGACTCACTTTAAACAAGAGGCAGAGACAAGCTGCATCTCAGATACCAACTTTTCCATTCAGAAAACTCAGCTGCAGCTGTCACTACATGTAATGGGAACACAGCAAGGGTTCCAGCAGTCTGACTGTTCTGACCTTGGAGGGAGGCCATGCACAAGCTGGGATGGCACTGCCCTCCCTGGAACCTGTGAATGTTGGAAGTAACAGAGTCCATTTCTACTGACACAGGAACGGATACCAGTTGTTGGCAACAGGTCCTCGGGTTGAAGTACACAGGCATCCACTTCATTATGGTTCTGAGGGCAGGAAATATTCTAGTGTTGAAGGTAGGGTCTCCGGTAAATTTCTAATGAAGTTTCAAGAGGACAGTGCAAACTTTTACCATTCCATCATGTCTTTAGTCGGCTGTCACAGGGAAATTAGTGCCCCGACTGGACACTTTATGCCAGTAAGGTCCAGAGGTCACAGAGTCCCATGTGCCCAGCTCTCAGTGTGGCTTCTTCCTCAGAGCAGTCTTTATTGTGATGACCTGATCTCTCCCTTAGCTTAGCAGATGCTCAGCATCCTTCAGGATAAAGCCTTCTTCTCACTGCTCCTCCATTTTTACTTTAATAATACTTAGGCATGGGTTGTAGGCAATTATGAAGTCATTTTTTCTTCCACACTTACAAATTTGTATGGTTGCTGCTTCATAGGCCCTAACCCATCCCTAGGCACCCTCCTCATTAACTCATGAACTGAGTAAGACCCTGCAGTGTTTAAATGAATACTGTTTCCATGTAATTACGCAGCCCACCGCAGCTCCTTACAACATATAACAAGCTGGGGTGGAGTCCGACCTTAGTAAATTTTGTAGGGCTCTTTTTTCCTTTCAAAGCACATGAGACAGCCACATCATTATAAAACTGCAATGTTGCATGGTCCTCTATTAGCTATCCTTACCACTCAGCACAGAGATGATGATTTGGAAATGGGTTATAGGTTTTTGTTTTTACTTTTTAGTACCTTCAGTTCCTACACAGGACTCAATGTCTGGCCCTGGGGTTCCTGGGGTCAAAGCCGGTACCAACTTTTCAGGTTATAGCTACTAAGTTTATTCTGCAGTGTAGCCAGAGCTGGACCTACTTCAGGCTTCCTGAGTCCTAAATAAAATTACAGGTTTGAGTAGGGGTAAAGAGAAAGCAAGTGCTTCCAGCAATGTGTAACAAGGGCAGCACTCTAAGGTAGCTGCTGCTGCTATTGCTATTTCAGGCTCTAAGTCCTTGCAAGTTACATCCAAAATTGATCTCCTTTTAGAATCAAATCAACTTAGACATCTGTTATTGATCTGCATTAAGTATTGGACACATGTAAAGATCAGAGAAGGAGGTTCACCATGTACAAGTTTCACTGGCAAGCAAGCTAGGGTGGGTGCTCATCAACACACAGAAAGAGTGATGCTGACTGAGAACTCTGAACAAGCAAATGGGAGTCATTGGGATCTGGCTGGCCTGGACTGACCTACTTCTTTACTCAGAACGGGGCAATATCAAGCACCTTTAGTTTTCTTGGCTGTGTTTCAAAGCCAGGAAATAGAAGTGAGCATTTCCTGTTTGACAGAGTTCAGAGCTACCCATGTATCAGAACACTCACTGTCTGTCACTATGCTCTTGCATTGCACACCAGCGCCACCTCAGTCTCTGATGTGAGTTCACAATAAGAAGTAAGAAATATAGGCCGGGCAGTGGCGGCGCATACCTTTAATCCCAGCACTTGGGAGGCAGAGGCAGACTGTGAGTTTGAGGCCAGCCTGGTCTACAAGAGCTAGTTCCAGGACAGCTAGGACTATACAGAGAAACCTTGTCTTGAAACACCCCCCCCCCCAAAAAAAAGTTCCAGTTATGTTTTTCAAATGGAAATTTACCTCCCATTTTGTATTAATAGGTTATTTTAGGAAATACCTTAGTTTGTGTCTGGTATTTCAAAAAAATTATAATAAATGCCAGCATGGATCATACAAAAAAATGTCACTATTAAATTTTTATATGTGTTTTGATGTGTATATAAACTCAGCCATAGAGAACATTTCTTTCTTATTGTGGACTGCAGTGTGACGTCATTGGTGTTCACAGACTGTGCGTACTGCCAGCAAATGAGCTGGTGTTCACAGCACTCACATTCTGCAGAACTCTGGATGACGTTCAGTTCCTCTATGAAGAAATAAGAAACAAGTCTAATGAGCTTGAATCATTAAGTAATGTAAGATGACATTTTTAACTATTAATGTTACTTTTGGGTTACAAAGAATTTATCTATAACACAACAGAAAACAAGTGAAAACATCTCTTTCTCTAACATGCTAAGCACTGTGCTTCAACACTGAACCAGTGTCAATACTCTTGAGTGTTCATCATGATGGAATCGAAAAAATAAACATAAATTAAGTATATGTTTATATGTATAGTGACTTACAAACCAAGTATAGGATAGCTTTTTGCAGAACTTTAATTTCTAAGAATTTTTAACTCACAGTAAAAGTACCTTATAGAAACAAGACTAACAGAAAATTTGAAAACAATCTATAACAAAAATTCACCAGTGTCTAGACATTTGAAAAGTATCACACCAGTTTGCTGAAGTTTAAAATCAGTGTTGTGTTTATGTTCACATATTTAAAGATCCTATAACAATTCTGCCTATGTGCATTAAATACTGTGCCAACCACAAGCAATACACAGACTAGAACCAATGAAGTCTGGCCTACAGGAACAACCTACTACACTTGGCCAAAGCAGCAGTGGCAGCAATTGCTGCTGCCACCATGAATAGAAGCACACAGCCCCAGAGGCTGTGAGAAGCAGACCCAATAGGCTTCATCTGACTTACCAATCAGCCCCACAGAAGTATGACTGAAGGAGCTAATAGTGTGTGTATGGACAACTTCACCCAGGGTCTCATATTTAGATCATACCTTATTTTACACAGGAAGGAAGGAAGGAAGGAAGGAAGGAAGGAAGGAAGGAAGGAAGGAAGGAAGGAAGGAAGGAAGGAAGGAAGGAAGGAAGGAAGGAAGGATAGATATAGAGATAGGCAGATGATTAGAGAGAGATCTAAAATATATGCTAGAAAATCAGTAAAAAGCAATATTACAATCTACAAAATTTGTAACTATAATAATTGATTTAAATATCACAGACCCAATTAATTGTAAGAATCTACTATATCTCCCCAACAAGATACAGTGTCTCATGCTCTCTTATTTAAATTGTATTATTTTTTTTGTATAGGTGTGTTTTTCCTGCACCACATGCCTGCAGTACCCATGGAGGCCTGAAAAGGGTGTTGAATCCCCACTGGGACTAGAGTCACTGATGACTGTGAGCCACCATGTGGGTTATGGGAACCAAATCGGAGTCCTCTGAAAGAGCAGCCAGAGCTCTTCACGGCTGAGCCATCTCTCCAGTCACTCTACCCTCAACCCTTGTGCTCTTTTTGTTAATGTCCTTTCGATTTTGTTTTTGAGATAACATCTCATTAGGTAGCCCTGGCTCGCCTGGAATTCACTAAGTAAACTAGGCTAACTCCAAATTCATAGGGCTCCTTCTGTCTCTGCCTCCTGAGTGTTAGGATGAGGTCATGCAATGCCATGCCCAGCTTCATGCCCTTTAAAGAGGAAATTCAAAGTGAGAGAATAAAAGGACTATATAACAGAGTCACTGGTGCAGCCCCATCCGGTCAAAACCCAGAAAGCACCATGACGAGTGTGAATAGGTGCACTTGTTTGCAGAGCTTTATGCATTCTCTGTCACACACAACTGCAACATGAGACTCCTAAGTGTGCCTGCCTTCATGAACTTAGAACGGGAAGCCTCTGAGTGCTCCTGTCCATGTGTGAAGTTCTATACCTGTCAGCCTCCAGCACATGCCCAATGCAATGACTGCACCTGGACTCGGTCCTTCACGTTAGATGAGTGAGTGACCACTGACCTTCAAAGAGTGGTGACCACACAGCAGATCAACCACGGAGGGCCTGAGATTCAAGAACCCTTGAAGCCCATTTTTCATCTCATCAGCAAATGTCTCCAGTCAGTATTTAAAATTCATCGAATATCTGACTAAGTGTGGTCACCCAAGCCCGGCTCATCTTCAGATTAAGAATGTCCAAATGAACAAGAAGTTGAGACTGGCCAGTGAGATGGCTCATCGGGTAAAGGTACCTGGATGCAATCATGTACACATGGTGAAAGGAAAGAAACGTCTCTTGAAAGCTGTCCTCAGACACAGGCGCACAGATACACACAGGGAGACATACACACAGGGGAACGTTAAGAAAATTAAAGTTGAGACATACTGAAAAGTTTAATATTTTATCAAATTTCCAGACACCTTACCTTACAGATTAGCCAGGAGCTCTGTGTTTGGATGAATCGGCAAATGGTGTGCACTGAAAGTGACTGCAGTGGAAAACTGTTCTCTGATCTCTCCTTCACTTGGTCTTCCCAGAGGATGGATTTCAAGTTTCAATAAGAAGCAGAGCCTGGCATTAACTAACATAATGATCACAGAAATTTGAAGGCAGCTGACTTGCATTGTGCTAGTGCAAGACCTCACACTCAGGAATCTACCAGTACTCGCTGAAGGCATGCACTGAGTCATTCAGAGCCACAGCACCAATGCTCCTCGTTCAGACTAAGGAATCAGAGAATGGTAATGATGTAATGGAAGAAGTGTACTCAATGGCTCGTAAAAGTACAGCTCAATTTTCTGGTTTTTCTATTTAATAAAAAATTATGTCAGATACATCCTGTTTTTCGTAAATTTCTCCAAAAGAAACTAAATTCAACAATTTGAGGGAAAAAGAAGTGTTTTACTTTTTTTCTGAATGTATTTGTAAATCCTGTTTTGTCATCCACACCGTGCATGTAAGCACCATTATATTTCTGTGACCTGTGTGCTACCTAGGGACAGCAACAGCATGCACTCATGTTTTTAGTCAGGAACTCAAGAGTTAAGAAACAAATCCCAACAATCACGTACAA